GCCAGATGGTCATTTTCACCCCTGTGGCTCTTCCTTCCTCCAGACGAAGTCATACGGAAGCGTCTCCTCATTGATGGAGATGGTGCTGGAGATGATCGAAGAATTAATCTGCTTGTGAAAAGCTTCATTAAATGGTGCAACTCTGGATCCCAGGAAGAGGGGTATTTCATTCTCAGTTCTTTCTATACCAATGTCTTGATGTGATTTTAACATAAATTAAGGACTCCTTAATGTTTCAAAATTTCCCTCACCCTAAATGTTTCCTGGCCTTTTAAAATTCTCAGAGGCATGACTTAGGTTGATTAAAATGTTCCAATGTAAGAAAAGTTGAAGGTTAATTTCAAGTGTTTTTTTTTTTGTTTGGGTTTTTGGGAGGCAGATCCAATTTTTAGTAAGATGAAATAACTAAGTTGGATATCCTTTTTTGTGAATAAGCTAATAAACCAATACAAGACTAAATATATTTTCTTAATTTTTTTAACAGAAAAATTCTCATTTGAATTAGCTTTCTACATAGATAAATAGGGAGCCCTGATGGCGTAGTGATTTCATGTGGGGCTGCTAGCTGCCAGGTCAGCAGGTTGAAACCACCAGCCCCGGCATGGGAGAAAGGTGAGGTTTTCTACGCCTGTAACGAGTTGCAGTCTGGGTAACCCACATGGGTAGTTCTATCCTGCCCTCTAGGGTCCTGTGAGTCGGCACGGACTCAGTGGCAATGAGGTTTTTTGGCCCCCTACCATCAAGTCAGATGCTACCCATGGTGACCCTATCTATATAGGGTTTCTGAGACTAAATCTTTATTTGCAGGAGCAGACAGCCTCATCTTCCTCTCACCTAGCAGCTGATGGGTTTGAATCTACACCACCACCCAGGCACTGCCCTCTCACCACCACCAACAAAACAAGCCAGACTCACTGCTGTCATTGAGTGCATTCTGACGCAGAGTAGCTGTTGGACAGAGCCGAGCTGCTGCTGTGGATTTCTGAGACACAATCCTCTCTACAGGAGTGAAAAAGCCTCTTGTTTTTCCTGCAGAGCAGCTAGTGGTTTTGAATTGCTGACCCTGTGTTTAGCAACCCAACTCCTTACTCACTCTCCCGCCTGGGCTCCTTAAATAACTTCATAAAGTGAAAAACTAGTGAAAACAGAATTTTAAGGATGTAATACCATCACAGTCAAAATATGTTTAAATGTTTTTTAATCAGAATTCAAATAAGCGCTTATTTGAATTAAGCCTATGAACAACAGCTCCATTTTTACATTTGTGCCTAAACCAGTTTATAAATTTAAGTAAGCCACATTTGGAAGAAGAAAGCATAAGGGATAGATATTCTAAATTATTTTAAATAAAGCAAATGATTCTGTCAGAACTTGGTGTAAGCTAGTTAGCAAGTCCTCCCCTGCATTATAGCAGTTTAAGTTTGGCAATCTACAAACATCTTTGTTGTGTTTCTCTCATTTTCATTAGATATAGCCAATACCAACGTATGCTAAGCACACTGTCGCAATGTGAATTTTCAATGGGCAAAACGTTGCTGGTATATGATATGAATCTCAGAGAAATGGAAAATTATGAAAAAATTTACAAAGAAATAGGTAAAGCAAATTAAAGAAATTCTTGTTTAATTTTGTTCTTTATCTGTGGTGTCATTTTTCTGGTCTAAAACAAACAGCTGCTAACCTTTTCTTGGCTAGTAGTAGTGAAAATGAAAACAACAATAATATTAATCTCAGAATTACTACATGTTAACTTCATAAATAGATTCCAATATTATGCAATGTTTCGAGTAAGAGCTATTTTTAATATGTGCATTTTGTTCGCAATGGAACTTCCATTTAAAAATGCATTTTAACATGGAAAATGGACAGAGATTATACATTTTATTATAACTATCTTTTTTTAAAAAAACACTTTTCATATAGAATGTAGCATCGCTGGAGCCCATGAAAAAATTGCTGAGTGCAAAAAGCAAATTCTTCAAGCAAAACGAATACGAAAAAATCGCCAAGGTAAGGGTTTTGAGGGATTTAGTGTGCAAATACTTTATCACTGACTAGTATTTCCATGCGATTTTTAATGTGAAGTAAAATCTCAGCTAGGATCAATCTAAAATCTAAAAATGAGTTAGGAACCAAGCTTAATTTCTTAAAACTGTGCCAGTCTTTAAAATTGAAGAGAAGGGACGCTGTGCTGAAAAGAGCTTTGCTGGATTTTGTTGATTATCTAAATCTAAAGTGATATTTTGTTTTTTTCTTATGTGCTGTTGCCATACCCTTCTGCCTACATAATATTATGGTTAATTGGCAAAGGTGATTTACACAACTACACTAGATTTAGGATTGTTAACGTAATTATTTTATTTTTGTTGTTGTTGATTATCTGTACAACAGACCATATATCACTTCCATGTCTACATGTGCAAGTCATTGCAAGGGATTTTATTTTTAATTAGAACTACTTTAAGAAAAAGTATTGGGTATAGTTAAATTAAAAAACAGGGTTGTTACTAAATACAAGGGAGGCATTAAATATATTTAGTTTAAATATATTGTAAACATTATGCAAGGTTACATCTATATTAATATTTTTAACTTGGATAAAGATCAAAATTTACTTTTGTTCAAATAATTTTTCAAAATAATTTTTAATGACGAGCTATTGCTCCCCATGCAATGTGAGAATAAACCTAAATTTAAAAACATAATGTATAACCACAATTTCAACACATTATATGAAACATGAGGATGAAGTAGAAAATATTAATGGTTGTTTTAGGGTTGTTTAATGGCTTAGGTTTTCTCTCTTTCTCTCTTTTCATCTTTACTGTTTACTATTGTATTATTTTATAATACAAAATTAACTATGGAACCACTCTACAAAATTTATTCTGAGGTCCAAAACAATGAACTTTTTAATGAGCTAATTAAGATAAAGTTTAATTTCCTTTTCTTAAAAGTTGTTGTTTTAATTCATGATAGAGCACATATGCTCAAGTTTCAGTGGCCGGTATTTAGCCAGTTACCAACATATTTAATTATTAATATTCCAAGATCATTTATGAATAATTTACAGACTGTTTTCTAATGAAGAAGATTATAAGGTGAATACTATCATTCATCATTTCCTAAGGAAGGTTAACAGGAGTTAGTTACATGGCTTATTGTGGATAATTCAATGGCGTAGAAACAGAGTTCTGAAATTTTAAGTCATTTTTAAATTTCTGGAATCGGTAACTTAAAGTGAGGAGAAGTGCACATGCATTTGTGTAAGATCTGGCATTAATAATTGGATATACTTACCTCACTGATCTTGTTTTGCTGCATAAATCGTGCATACGAGCCTTTTCACAATCAGCCTACTAGATGGTGGATCGTGACTCAAATTCACTTCCCCGCTTACGCTGATTTCTTCTTATGCTGCCCATGGCTACTCACATGTAAAATCTAGAGTGGGAGCTCAAAGCCCTGTTTGGAATGATTCTTGTGTCATGTGTCATTGCAGTTACAGAGGAATCAAATGAATTTGAAATTCTCCTTCCAGCCATCAGTTTTGTCATGTCTCTAGATACTTGGCAAGTGATTTGGAGAGATTTATAATTACAGATTTTATTTTGATAATCCGTGTTGAAAACACCTGAGTTTGGTAATCAATTTTTATCTCTTTCAGAGTATGATGCTTTAGCGAAAGTCATCCAGCATCATCCAAACAGGCATGAAACTTTAAAGTGAGTTTTGAGAGCTTGACTCTGAAATGGACTCATCTGTATGCTGAAATGTTCATATACTAACCTTTGCTTCCTTTTTTTATGGCAACATACAATGTTTCAAAAGTGACAAGCATACCCTTGATATTACCCATTCTAATATTTGATTAAATGGGTTTTTTCCCTTTTAATTTTATAGCCTATAGATCTAAAATGAATACAGCCATAGAAAAATGATGTCTCTCCATATGGTAAGATACTAAATAGCAGTTAAAAAAAGAACAAATTAACAAGATGCATATTTCTAAACACAAAGGTCACACATAATTAGTAAAAGAAAAAGCAATATGTAATGAATTTTAAAATATTTCTAAGTTGATGGCACTGTTTTATTTCTTTTACTGAGAAAAAGACTTGGAGTAAATATGACAAGATGTTAAAAGTTATCCGTTCATGGTGTTTGTTGTTTTCCTGTATTTAGAAAATTTATCTTAAAATGTTATTTTAGCTCTCTGATCTTCCACGGTGGCATGCCGTGGCCAAGGCCAGAAAGGACAGAAGGTGATGGTGCAGCTCATCAACCTCATCTTCAGATACTTGCAAAATAGATCCCATATTCAGGTGTGGCTCTATGAGCAAGTGAATATGCGGATAGAGGGCTGCATCATAGGCTTTGATGAGTACATGAACCTTGGATTAGATGGTGCAGAAGAGATTCATTCTAAAACAAAGTCAAGAAAACAACTGGGACGGATCATGCTGGAAGGAGATAACATTACTCTGCTACAAAGTGTGTCTAACTAGAACTGATCATTGAAGCGAGAAGCTGAGGGCCAGAGCTCCCCCCTCCCCCTTTTTAAGTGTTCTTTGTTATGAATATAGTTCTAAAACATGGCTCACATTGTTTTCATTACCTTTAGGTTCTTATTCAGCCACAGTAAATAGCCTCTGTTGGCTTGTTTGGTTTTTTTTTTAATGTTATTTTAATGAAAATAAGTACATATTTCAGCAGTTCTCAACATGTGGGTTGCAACCCCTTTGGGGGTCAAACTACCCTTTCACGGGGGTCACCTGATTGATAACAGTAGCAAAATTACAGTTATGAAGTAGCAATGAAAATAAGTTTATGGTTGGGGGTCACCACAACATGAGGAACTGTCTTAAAGGGTGGCAGCATTAGGAAGGTTGAGAACACTGACAGATTTAGACATTTAAAAGAATCTTCACCTTTATAAGTGCTCCCATAATGGAGTGGTATAACTCATTCTTTTTACATTTTTGTGTTAGTCTGGGTAGACTAGTGCAACAAATTAATAGAGACACTCGTGTATAAGAAAGAGCTTTATATACAATAGCAATTGAATATCAAGAAAACATCCCAGCCTACTCCAGATAAAATTCATAAGTCCAATATTAGCCCATATGTCTGATACCAATCTATAAAGCCTTCTTCAGACTCACGAAGTACATGCAATGACACTGATGCAGGAGGATCGCAGGCCAGTGGGTGGAAAGTCTTATGGATCTTGTGGCTGTAGAAGCATCTCAGCGCTGGCAGGAGTCGCCACGTGGCTTCTCCAGCTCAGGGTGCTAGCATAGGTCCATGTGTCTTGTCAGCTGGAATGTCTCCCAGGGAGTGTATATGTGTCCCACCTCCAACAAGCTATTTATCTCCTGAGTGCCTCCAAATGAGGTCATCAAGCTGCGACCTGATTGTTGACAGACTAAACTCCACCCCTTCATTCTAACTACCACAGACTACCCCTTATCAATTTGATACTTTCACATACTCTTTAGCCATATATAATTTTCAAGCAAACAATAATAAAATCGTATCTGTACCTAACAGGATAAAAGTAAAATGCATATAACTCATTATGTGTCACCCTCATTTAAATATAATATTCTTGAAGTGAACAAAACAAAAATATTCTATACTTGTTACCTATACCTTACTCCTATAATCCTATGAATATATTCCAGCACCTATGAAAGTTTGTAAGTCAGCCACTTCATGCCTTTATCCTCTCCACATTTTAGGTATCCAATTTCTATACTGCCCACTTACATCAACCCAGTGCTCTGAGGAGACAATCATATGCTTTGACGTGAAGAATCTTTATTCCAGTTGGAACCTTGTGAGTCTGCATCCATAAGCAAAGTCAAATCAGGACAGGTCATCCATAAAGTCAGCAGCAATATGCACCAGTTCACAGGCTCAAAAATCCTCTCTTCATCTGGTCAACTCAATGTGGGCTGCCTCACTAAACCTCACCTGGATGCCCATTGGTCGCTTAGCCTTTAGACCAGGGGTACTGTCACAAATTCTCAATAATCCTAGACCGTTGTGCTAGGTTATGAACTTCAAACCAGTCAGCCCACTCTCATTTTCTCCAGTAGTTCCTGTGAACCAGGTCCACGGGTGTCAGTGGCCAGACTCAACCCCTCTCTGATTATTGCTACATTTCTCTCACTTCCACTGAACACATGGATCCAGGTGGTCACCTATCAAGCATTTCAGCCTGCCCACAGACTTACTTTAACGTGCAGTCCTAGAGAGGAGTTTTCTTCATGGTTCCAGATTTTTTCCAGCCTCTGACAAAAACCACTAGTTCAAGATTCAGAAAGCCAGAGTTCCTTTTTCTTCAGTCTATCAACAGCCACGTAGGCAAGCAAGTCTCTTGGAAGGCAACTGGCCTGAGTATTCCAAAGCACTGAGTGGGGTTAATCTTTTCAGAGCCTTTGTTTCAGGAGTTTCCTAACCCATGTCAAGATTCAATTTTTAATGGCTGAAGGCAATGCTTACAAACTCTCTGTTTTCATGCTTCCTAATAATCCATCTCTATCAATCATTATATCAACAAAAATAAGCAGAAGAAATCAGTATAAACAAAGTAGAATCAGATACTAATCTCAATTCATAAAGCAGCCAATTACAATCCTTATCTAAACTTACGTTAATCCTTATCTAAACTATTCTATTGATACAAAATACTGCATTAGGCCTCTGACAGCATCAAGCCAGAGCTAGGCTTTCTGTCAGCCATTTTGACCTTCTGTCAGCCATTTTCCCTAAGACTCATGGTTTCTGAGAAATTGAAGGGATGATTTCTACCCCTCCTGAACTCAAAATATACATTAACGACATTTATTTTCATCATTTCACACAGAATGACCAAAGACAACAACCTAACAAAACAATCAAAACTTTAACTTCCCATATTCTTTCAGAAAACAACCCAGTAAACTGCCTGGTCATATCTGACTTCCGGCTAGCCATAAAAGAACTAGCATGAGGCAGAGGTCATACATGCATCCACTCTCCATCTTTATGATTTGTTTCTCTAGTCAACCTGGACAAACAGTTTTTAAAGCACAATTTAGTAACCCAAAAATTTGAATTTTATTTGTGAATTGTGTTCCCCCCAGTTAGCAAAATAAAACACTTCTTTTTTTTCTTTCAGGGAACTAGAGGCTCTGGGTAAAGAATTACAGCATCTTTCACATATTAAAGAAAGTGTTGAAGATAAGGTATTTGCATATATATATATGTCTAGTATATATGGCGCTCTCGTGCCCCTGTCGGCTGTGTTAGACTGCTAAACATCAAGTCGGCAGTTCCAGCCTGTCAGCTGTTCAGTGGGAGAAAGATGGGGCTGACTGCTCCCAGAAAGACTTAGGGCCTCGGAAACTGTATAGTGGTGCTATGGGTCAGAAATGATTTGATGGCAGTGGATTTGGGTAGGGTGTGTGTGTGCACACGCACTTAAGTGTATCAACTTAGATCGTAAATTACATGAATTTTTTTCTTTTAATATAGCTGGAATTGAGGCGGAAACAGTTTCACGTTCTTCTTAGTACCATCCACGAACTTCAGCAAACACTGGAAAGTAAGTAGAAGTAGTCTCAAAATGATGATGGCAATGAATGTACAAATGTGCTTGATACCATTGAGGTACGGATTGTAGGAACCGCAGTAAGAGGCCCCAATAAAAAAAATTTTTTTAATGTATGCAAAGGTTTTTTAATGATCCAGGAACATGCCTTTTAGGAATTTACATCTCAATTGTAACACCTTTGAGTTCTGAACAGGAATATATAGTTAGCTGACATTAGAAGGTACACACATCATTTCAATATCCTAAATGTGTATAGAAAAGTCTTTATAAGCATGTAAGATTTAAATACACACACAGTAGTTTCATTTGGGAAAATTCTGTGAACATAGATTTGAAATTTTTCTGGTTGCATTGTAGTTCATTGCTGCAAAGATTTAGGATCCAGACAGGTAATAAGTGAGAGAAATAATTTTTTTAAAAAGTGAGAGAAAAAATAAGTGCATGTGAACATTTACATACACCTTGAATGGTGTTTGCTGCTGAGAACTGCAGACTTGTTCTCTTTATTGTCTATCGTCAGGAAGAAAGTTATGTATAACTTAATCTACTGCCTCAGGCTGTTAACCAGGTCAGTGGTTCAAGCCCAGTGGCCACTTTGAGGGTAAAAGACAAGGCTTTCTGCTCCCATGAAGATTTGCAACCTCAGAAACTCACCGGGGAAGTTCTTCTGTGTCCTGTGGGGTTGCCATCAGTCAGAATAGACTCTAGCAATGAGTGAGTGGAAATGCTTCTGGCTATAAGGAAAGCCTACCATCTATAATTTTGCTTGTGTGTAATCTCACACAAATTTAAAATTTAAGCTCACCTAATAACCATCAATCATAATAGCACTTTTCAAGTAAACACTTATGCAAGCCAAAGATAGCCACAAACTGTCATTTTGCCTTGGATTTAAATATATTGACCAACAAAAGATAGAGATGTTTGCTGTATTTACTAGGCACCTCGTCCAAATATATTTGACTGAGGTTTTCTGTTTCTTTCTCGATTTCAGATGATGAAAAACTCTCTGAAGTAGAAGAAGCTCAAGGAACAAGCATGGACACAGATACTAAGCCGTAGACAAGCTACTCTCGCACCATCCCAAGAATATTGACCTGACTATGATCTTAGTGTGTTTGGAAACGTTTCTGTTCTTGAGACGCTTAAAATTTCTGTAGTGAAATACTTTGCTTTTAAAAGTGATGCACATTTTATTTGCATTTCTACACACAACAGAAAATGACTTCAGCACAGGCTTGGTTTTATCCAAATTCGTTTTCCCAAAATGTCTAATAAACTGATTTCAAGCAATTTGTGCTCATCACTATTTCTAGGTAATTTTTAATAGTAACCCCGAGTGCTTACAAAACAAGTTGACTATTATGCAAACAGGGTGTTTCTAGGATTTCCATGAAAAAGCAAATTCGTTTCCAGAAATTGTTGGCTCTTTTGGAAATGGAGTCTGTGGGACTTGGGAAATGACATGGTAGAAGCTCATGATTCTGGGAGCGTAGTGAGTGGCACTGGTACAAGAGGTCAGTGTACTTCGCTTTGTGTCTCTTGCTCAGCACTTAACAAGCATGGCGGTTCAGTCGTTTCTTTGGTTTCCTCTCCTGTTCTCGAGGAGCCATTTTCAATAGAAACAAATGTATTGATAATGTGAAGGCTTGTTTGAGATAACTAGTCCATTAAGATTGTTTTCCATGCAAGATTTTGTGATCTTAAAAATTAAGCTAAGTCTGAGTCGCATATTTTTCTAAAGCATTAGATTACACATTTATTACTTGTAAGGTTCCATTTTTATTCATTTATACTAGTTCAGAAACGTCACACTGCATGAGTCAGACCTTAATAATGTTACATTTTTCTAATTTTAAAAAGTAGCATCTTCATCTTTAAAGGTGAAATTTTAAAATTAGCTCAGTAGTAGTCACAGTCAAAGTGTCATCATACCTTTAATCGCTTCCTGCAATTTCATCTGGCAAATCAGAGGAGACATTTCTTGGCAGAATTGTTATGCCCTGATAACTGTTTCTATTTTTCATCATTAGTAAGAATTATGAAGCCCAAAGCCAAATTTTACTTACATTCACTCAAAAGATTTTCAAAAAGCATCTTTAAAAAATTATTTTTTTCTTTTTTAAGTACTGTTAGGCAGCATATCCTAAAAACTCTTGCCTATGGCGAATTCTACTAGAGAAGTTTGTTTAGGTTTTTATACCAAATGATAAGAATCCTTACAAAACTAACTTATGCAACAGGGAGAAAATCAGAAGCAGCAGCAGGTACATGGAAAGCACACGTTTTTCAACTTATACTTCCTCATGGTTCTCTTGGACACCCTCTGGAACTGCTTAGAAGACTGAAGAACTTCATCCCCTAGACACTCGCACTGCTGCAGCTCTGCGTGCCTTTGGGCCAGTAGCTTCCTGGATTTATCGGTGACGGTTTCTATGAGGTCGTCCACCTGTGGCACAGAAAGAAAGGAAGCCATGGGCTGGGAAAGCCTTGTCAAACCCGAAGGGAGTAAGTTCAGGTATTGGCGGATCCTCCCCAAACCCCAAAGTATTAGTCTAATTCAAGTCAGCAAACAGAGCTTGGAAACCCATTTACCACCCAGTGGTAATGACGATCTCATTTCTTCTCAAAAGAATACTATGTGCTCGCCTTCATTTTAATTGAAGAGATTCTATGTCTATTAGGCACACAGCCTCAGGTGCCCTTAGCAATCCTTTAGCCACTCAGAACGCCCCCCCACTGGCATTGTTTCCTCATGCTAATCGTTCGTTCTGTCCCACATCCCTGCTGTCTAGCAGGGATAACTGTCCTGCATGCAGAGCCCTCCAAGGCTTCAGGAACAGAAGAGAAAGAGCTTTTGTCCACTACCTGCATCTGAAGCTTTCCTATGGTCAAGTCTGATTTTCGGAGCTTGTTTTCCATGCCACGCTTCTTTTTCTTAAGGGCTGGAAAGTGTGGTCTCTTTTTTGTTGAATATGGAACCTATCATAAAAAATGCAAAAGCACGTCAGCGTAGGAAGCACCAACATGATTCCTGGGATGGCGCTTCAATAAGAATTCTCACCCTTGGGGCATTCTCTTACAAACTGATCGTTTGCCACATAACCACACACACTGGGTTGGAGACCGTATTCATATTATTCTCCACGCCCCACGTATCTCCTTTGTGCCCAGAGCTCTCTGAAGAGATCTATAGGGTGCAGAGAAATGAGATTGCCTGCCTCTGAAAGAATATACAGTGTCAGGGAAAAAGCAGGTCACTCACAAGGGGGAGAAGAAGAAATTGCTTCTGTGAGCTGCTGAGCACAGTGAGAATGTAGGGCTGTGGGGGACCAGTGCCCCAGAAAGCTCATTATCACTGGATCCAGTCGTTAATTTGGCCTCTGTTTGAGTTTTCTTATTTTCACGGCAGATGAGTCTCCAACCATAAAAAAGCAAGCTCTGCCTTCTCTCACCATGCTTGATATTTTCCCCACAGGCCTTGGCTTGTGGATTACAAGTACCTGTCCTAAGAGTGTTGCTACAGGAAATCATTGCCGGGCCATGGCTTCTGGCCAGCGTGTCCTTTTCCTGTCTCACGCAGGTCACTTTTCTTCCCTCTTCCCTCTTGTGCTTAATACCTAGTGGCAGGATTCTCCTGAGACCTATGCAGGGCAGGATCACACCTGGATCCTGCCTTTTCCCTGCAGAAAGTGCGCAAAGGGAATCTATGGAACCACCACTCTGATGGCTTCCCCAGTCTCAAATGTCACCTGTAGAGCCTTCCCTGTTCCATCCCAACTTCAACTAGCTTGCTCTCCCTTGCGTGCGCGCGCGCTCTCTCTCTCTGGGCTGCTAACCACCAATAGAGGAGCTCAAAGCCACCAGTCTCTCTCTGGAGGGAAAAAATGAGGTTTTGTACTCCTATAAAGAGTTACAGTCTTGGAAACCCACAGGGGCAATTCTACTCTCCTCTAGGACCCAGTTTTTCCTGCTAAGCACCTATCACACTTGGTAAGTACATTGTGTGTGTGTGTGTGTGTGTGTGTGTCTCAAATGCATTATTATAAAGGCAGGACTTCTCTGAACCCATGTGAATGGAAGAGAACACCCCTCCTCAAAACAGTTCCTGCTATCATCTCCAGGAATTCAAATCATCTCACTTTCCAGAAGGCTGTCATATTTACGCATTGGACTGCTAATCACAAGAGTTGCAGTCTTGGGAGCCCAGGGAGACAACTCTGCCCTGGCCCATAGGGTTGCTAGGAGTCTCCATCGACTCAATGGCAGTGAGTTTGGCTAATTTTAGGTCCCAAAAGAAAGTTGAAAATCCAGTGTTTTCTTTGAAATGTCCTAATTTTTAATGTGGCTGACTAATTCCAGGAAGTTTTTGAGAACATTCTGAGTGCCTGGCAGAACCCATGTGCAGACCAGATTCAGCCACGTGGCTGCGAGTGGACAGCCTCTGCTCTTCGGAGGCACGGACATTCCTATCTAGCCAGATGCAGCATCCTTTCCTTTAGAGCAGTGCTTTGGAATAGTAAGAAGGCTTTCTTCTCTACTCAGAAGTCATGATAATGTTTATTGTCCTCCGGAAACTTTCATGTCTTGCCTTTCCCACTTAGATCTATAATCCAATAGGAATTAATTTTTGTTAACTTTGTCTGGTGTGATATAAGGATGAAATTTTTTCCCCCAATATGGATGCTCACTTGTCCCAGCACCGTTTATTCAAAAGATTATTCTTATGCCACTGCTCATCAGCATCATGTTTTAATATCTACCTCCTTCATTAACCTGTAAGCCCCCCAAGAACAGGATGGGATCCAGTGTTTCACCCTCTTCGTCCCCAAACCTAGAAATTCCCTGGCACATAGCGGAGGCACAATAGAAATAGGATTTTAAAATGATATTAGCTCACTCTGAAAATTGTGTCCTAAAACAATGCTGTTCAATAGACCATTCTGTGGAGGTGGAACATGGGTCATGTAATGGAGGAATTGAACGTTTCTCTGTGAGTTAAATAGGCACATGTGTCTATTGCCTATCATCTCACTACATTACATTGTTGTTAATGAGGGAGGGCACTGGCACCAGGTCTGAATTTGAAGCATGCCTCTACCACTGATCTGAGGAAAATGCTCAAGCTTGCAGAAATGATAGCATTGCTGCCTACCCTATAGGGCTATCTTTAAATTTATCCTGTTATTTTTACAGCACCTACACTAGGGCCTAGACTAAGCAAGTGTTTGTTATGTTTGAAGTAACAACAATAAATAGTTCAGGATTTTATTTCAAAAAGCACTCTGGGTAGCTACCTTCACAGCCCCTGTGGCTTGCAAAAATCAAGACAGACTGGGACTCAGGCTGTTGGGAATGTCGAGTGAATTGAGCCTTAGCGAAGCTTGTAAAGACACCTCAGTAGGCTGCAGGCTCGGAAGACCAGGAGGCCGAGAGGGTGGTGATGGAGGAGAACATGGACAGGGGCATCGCCCACGTCATTGCCGTGCAGAAAGATCCCCTGGAAGGAACAAGAGCTGGAAGAGGCCTAGGAGAAGCTAGCTTGAATTCATCAGCATCTGAACAAGTTTCTGCCTTTGCAGTTCTAACATGAGCTCTGGTAGTGTCTGCCACTACCAGAGTCTGAGAGCCTTCCTGCAACTCCAAACCAAACTCATTGCCATCGAGTCCGTTCTGATCGTTTAGCAACACTCTGGCAATGGTACAGGACAGAGCAGAAGTGCTCTTGTGGGTTGCTGAGGTTGTAAATCATTTCAGAAGCAGACACCGTACTCTTTCTCCCAAGGAGCAGCTGGTGGCTTTGAACTGCTGACCTTAACGGTTAGCAGCCCACATGTCACCCACTATGCCACCAGGGTTTTTAGAGCATTTCTAGCACTGCTGTATTTCAGTTAGCACCTGCCATTGTCCAGGCCCTCTCCACCCTGCCAGTGGCTTCCAGCCAGACTTCACAGCCTCTGCTGGTCGTTTCCTAGTGCCATCTCGCCAGCTACCGCATTATAATTCCCAAACAGGTGATGCTGCCCTAGACGATAGCTCTACCTGCAAGGAGTTAAAAAAAAAAAAAAAAAAGTCTAGGTAATTTAGGCTCCAAGTAATATACTTAGAAAAAAATCACTTTTTTCACTTAGCTTCAGCGAGTCGTGGACTGCTTCAGCAGTCGTGAACTGCTAACAGTTCTGTTCTTCAAGAGCACAGGCCCATTCTGATGTAAACAGCCACATGGAGAAGGCGCCCTGGCACCGCGGTGGCTTCTTGTGCTGCTGACCACAGCCACTCTGCAGGAGAAAGATGAATGTGTCTGCTCCCGTAAGGACTCACAGCCTCAGAAACCCCAGGAACCGTCCTGCTCGGCCCCAGGGGGTCTCCATGAGTTACAGTCAACACAACGCAGTGAGTTCAAGTTTGTCGTCATAGGTGGCCGACAGCTACATGGGTCCTCAGGACACAGTACACCTGCATCTTTGCAGAAGCCTTGCTTGAGTATCGCTGGCCTACGGAATTCCCAGACCATGCTTGAATAGGCTAGGTTCCTATACACTAACTTGCCCCTGAGTAATTGGGACAGTCCGTGTAAACCATAAAACCTCCGATTCCGTTCCCCAGATTGTAGCTGGAGTTGATCTGGTAAATGAGCTGCGTGATAGAGGCGGGGAAAGCCTAGCGCCCAGGCCCCACGTTTGTGGCGGACAGGTAGAGGCACAGATTGAAAGGATTCATTCTGAGGGACTTCAGTACAAGAGAACTCCTTTTTTCCCACAAAGCCTAAACAATGACAGACGGCGCTCTGGTGGCACAAAGGTTAAGCACTCGGCTGTGCAAACCCACCATTGGCAGACTGGGAACTGAAGAGATGATGTTTCCAGAAAGATCACAGCCTAGACAAACACACACGGGCGGCCCAGAGTCAAAATCGACGGCAGCACCTAGGAGCTGCAGTAAATGATGTCAAACGCATCTAAGTCTTTAGAGTCAGGCTTGTTGGAAGAGTTTTACCTTTTGCAGCCCTGGAGGAAGGGATGTCACAGACAACCGCCTTGTGGTTCTCCTGGCCCGGAGCAGTGTGCTACCTCGGGTTACCTCTTCGGTCTCCGCTTCCACTACATCAAGTTGTATAGCCGCTGAGAGAAAGGGGAGAGAAAAAAACCACAGAAGAAAACATTCGGGACAAGCAACACATCACACTGCTTCAGCTGCTCCTTCCTTTGGGGTTAAAGCGAATGAATGTGTTTGCTCTTTCTGGTCGTACACCTTTTCCAGCACACTTTCCCCTTTTCCTGTGGATTTGAGTCTTGGTGGTGACCTCTTCCTCCCTAGGACTCAAAATGTTGTCCTGAGGGAATCGATATATGTTCTATATATTCATAGGCAATGCTGATGCATAGCAACCCCCTGTGGGGTTTTTGTTTATAGGAGGAGAAAGCCCAGTATGTCTCCCAAGGAGCTGCTGCTGGTTTTGAACTGCCAACCATCCAGATCACAGCTCAACTCATACCCACTACACCACCAGGGCTTTATATAGAGATAGATAGCCTTCCACTTCAGAGGGTTACTTTTTTCTGAAAGAGTTTATATATTTATATATGCATTCTTTCTCCATTGTGGGATTAGCAAAAGTAACTCTCTGAGGTGGAAGGCTAGCCCCTGAGTATTTGCTGTTGATTGAAGCAAAGTGTAACTCTATTCATCAGCAATGCGGCTCCAGGCTCAGTCTTTCACCCACCAACTTAGTAGTTTCACAGGCAGAAACGACATGAGCCCTACATACCACAATATTATTTCCATTTTTATCTAAATAAAAACATTTATAAGGAAAACTTTCTAACAGTACCATACATTAAGAACAGCATCATAAATAGGCATTAACATTAATAAAACCATACCATGGAATTCAAGAGACACTGAACTTGAGGTTGGGCTTCTTGTGCTGGGTGAGAGACAAAAGGTATCGAGTGGCATGGTCCCCTTGACATATTCAAAAGCACGGGCACAGCATGGGAGGAAAGTGTTCACAGTTGGCTGTGTGTTTGAGTGCCACGGTATGTGCACCTAAAGTCATCTGACGCTTCTTTAATAGGACTTCCCTGGGACCTCAATGAATGCAGCAGCCTACGTGACTTTCCTGAGGTCATCATGCAGGGCCTCAACTCTCAAGACTTCCTTTCTAAATCACATTCTTTGCTCTGATCTCGTCGAAGAGTGGCTCTTCCTTCAACCCAGGTACTTACCCTACAGGCCCGCAATTTAGTCTTGACCTTGCCAGCTCTCCTCTCTGTCCTTGCTGTCCTAACACTTCGTGAGGATTTTTCTCACTTTATCTCCGAAAAGTTGAGATGCTAAGACTAATCCAAGCAATTGCCATTGCTTGTCTATTTATTGTTCTTCCTCCATCTGTTCTCATTGTGTTGTTGCCGAGTGCCATTGTGTCTGTCAATTTTCACCTCATAATGAGCCCACGGGAGAGTAAAATTGCCCATAGGTTTCTTATGGTTTGATCTTTTATTTTAAATTTTATTTTATTGGGGGCTCCTACAGCTCTTATCACTCCATACATATATCCATTTTGTCAAACACATCTGTACATATGTTGTCATCATCTTTTTCAAAACATTTTATTTCTACTTGAGCCCCTGGCATCAGCTCTTCATGTATTGCCCTCCCTCCTTTACCCTCCCTCTCCCATGCTCCCTTGATAATTTATAATTTTTTTCATGTCTTACACCAACTGCTGTCTCATTTCACCCACTTTTCGTCCCCCTGGACTGGAGGCCATACGTCAATCATTGTGATTGGTTGCTCCTTACTCCTTCCACCCCCCACCCTACCCTTACCCTCCTAGTATAGTTGCTCCCTTTATAGGTCCCGAGGGGTTTTTTCTGTTCTGGATTCCCTGTGTTGTGAGCTTTTATCTGCACCAGTGTACATGTTCTGGTCTAGTCAGATTTGTAAGATAGAATTAGGGTGGTGGTAGTTCTTTATTGAAGCAGATCTTCAGGTCTCTCTCTCTCAGGGAGCTGCTGGGTGGCTTCAAACTGTCAATGCTTGAGTCATAGTCAAGCCCATAACTTTGCAGTAGCAGGCCTGCTGGCAAGCTCCAATCTCATCTCTACCCTGCAACCAGAGTTCTTTCTTCAAAATGCAAATCAGATGATCAAGATCTCCAGCTTAAAAGCATTTCTTTGTGTAGCACCATTATGAGAAGGCTCAACACCCTTCATGTGGCCTGCAACGCCCTGACCACCTCACTATGCACTGGGCTCTCCTTTCATCGGGAGTCCTGGTGGCAAAGTGGTTATGAGCTGGGCTCCTGAAAGGTCAGTAGTTCGAAACTACTAGCCAGCTCCTCAGGAGAAAGATACGGCTTTCTACTCCTTTAAAGTGTTACAGTCTCAGAAACTTACAGGAGCATTTCCACCCTGTCCTGTCGGTCCCAATGAGTCAGAATCCACTCGATGGCATTGAGTTGGCTTGGTTCTGTTCATCCTTTGTTAGTTATGCCCTGTACCCTCTTGATATTGGGACTTTGAACAAATTCTATCTCCTTTCTTAGGAAACCGTTCTCCCCATCCTTTCCTGGCCTAGCTCTTAGCCATCCTTCAGATTTCAACTTTGCTCTCCCTGCCTTAGAGGGGCCTTTCCTGAGCCGCCTCCACCAAAATTAGGCTAGAGCAACCATGTTGTTCCATAGCACCTTGTGCTTTCTCTTTGGCATCAGCTATAATTTCCTGTAATTACTTATAATGTTTACCCTGCTTTGCAATAACGGAGCTCTGGTGGTGCTGTGGCTTAAGCATTGGGCTGTTGGCCAAAAGGTCAGTGGTCAACCCCATCAGTCACTTCAAGGGAGAAATCTGAGGCTGTCTGCTGCATAATAATGTTCAGTCTTGGAAAGCCTAGTGAGCAATTCTACTCTATGCGTCAGAATTAGCTTGATGGCAACAAGTTTGATTTAGTTTGGTCTTGGCTATATTTTCATGAGGGCAGGGACCACAGATGTTCTGTTTGCTACTATATGTCAAATATAGTCTGTAACTATATTGATGAGTGGTATGTAGTTAGTGCTTACAAATACTTGTTAAATAGGAAACAAGGTGTTAGGGAGTCAACAGAAAAAAGCAACTCTCTTGGAACCACAGAACTGTCAGGGTATAATAAGAGTCAGGTTCAAATCCACTAATCTCTCTGAGATGAGGCAGTTTGCTCATGTAAAGTGTTACAGCCTTTGAAACCCAATGGGCAGTTCTACTCTGACTTATAGGGTTACTAGGAGTCTGAATCAATTCAACTGCAGTGGGTTAAGCCAAATGGTAGGCATACTTTCTGGAGAAATCTTCATTTACAAATTTGTTCTTCCAACTAAGACAATGTGCAGATGAGGAGGAGAAATTTGGTTCTTGGTTTCCTGCTGGGCTCTCCAACATCAGCTCCACCAGTGGAGAAGCATATCCCCTTTGGGATTTTCAACAGAAACATCCAGGTCAATCCAAACCAGGTAACTGCTAGATGCTTGGCTGCTTGTATTAGTGACTGCTTTTTCCAGATGAGAGCATTTGTTAGGGCGCTCAGTCACCTGGAATCCAGCAAGGCTTGTTTTCTTTTTAAGCACCCACCATGCCTACAGCCTGATTTGTGTGTGAAATGGGCGGTTGTGTGTGGATCCCCTACCTGCACTGTAAGGGCTCAATGTGCTTCCTGATGCGGGCCTGAAAAGGACATGGAAAATCTACAGAGAAGAAAGAAAGCAATGGTGCTGTGGCTAATCATAAGTCACAGGACCCAAAGAAGCCACAACTTTACCAAAAATATATAGAGATCAAATATTGATCTTTCCACAAAGAGCATATAAAGGAAAAAATAGAATAAATATATAATAATATCAATGAACAAAATATATTTTATAATTTACCAACCATACATTTTATTCATATTCAACTATGTGAGAGGGCCAATTTGAAAGGCTGTATTATGACTTTTCCAGAGACAAAACAAAACAAAAACCCTACATCTAGTATATATATATATATATATGAGTATGTGTATATTAGATATATAGAATACACACATACACATACAGATAGGATCCACAGCATATAATCCTACCTATATGTATATACACATATATTATCATTATATTCAAGCATGCATATATGGATATATACATGCATATATGTATGGGTACATGAATATGTGTGTACATACACATATGTGGACATCTGTTTACATATACATGCATATATACACAACTATATATGAATACACATCTATGCATATATGTGTATATATACAGGTACATACACATAAACATATATACACTAGAATATATCTGCATATGTATTCAAATTAATAAAGTTTAGACCTGAGTAGGCCACTTATTAATTGAACTGGGAGGAACTTCAAAGAAAATCTATTCCAGTGCTTTGAGTAGCAGGAAAAGCACCCTAATGTCATCTCTTGGCCTTGGAGTTTAATGATAAAAGGCCTACCATTCTGTGAGAGCTTTCTCATTCCTGGTTTGGCAAATAGCGTGGGAGACGGAAGCTCCTTGACAATTCTGGGAAGAAGACCCTGTGAGTTGGAAAGAAAGACTTCTTTCAGGTTCCTGGAACCTTCTCTGCCGCCACTCGCTGGCTTGCTCCTACACTTGTATGGAAGCATCTTCCCCAAAGTTGTCTTCACTTTCTTCATTACATTTTTCTTCTTATTTTGCTGGCTGTCTTGAAACTCCATGTCGCTGTCACTAGATGATTCCTCTTTGGGAATCAGTACGTTTTGTTTCGCTAAGTTGGTGGATACAGCTCTATGCCACCTAAAGCAAACAACAATAATTTGCATAAGGAAAACAGAAAAGTTCAAAACAAATACTTAAGCGGTTAAAGTTCAAATTTCAAAAGTGAGTCAAATATGCAATTTCTGAAAGAGAAATTAAAGGCCAAGAACCATCTCATAGAAAAATAAAGTCAAATCAACTATTAGTTTTTTGGTCACCAGAATCTAGTACATACATTCAAATCCTTATTTCATTTCATCCTCACAGCAGCAAAAGAGATACGATCTATTATGACTTCCATTTTCCTAATGAGTAAACTATGACAGAGAGGGCAAATTAAGTGACCACGTGCAGGACGCAGATTGGAATTCCAGTCCATGACATAATAAAACACATCACCTTTCTTGGCTAATTGCCAATGAGTTCAAAGGTGGCTGGCCTGGGTTTTGCTGAATTTGATGGTTCAGAGGTCATAGAGAATGTGCTGTGCTAATAAGAAACATAGGAGGGGGTACCCAGAAAAACGGAAACATGTTTTCAAAGCTGTATATTTAAATGTTTTTTAAAAACAACCTTGTCACCTTCAAAGTGTTGTCCATTATACTTAATACATTTGTCAACTCTGCGATTCCATTCTTGGAAACATTTTTCAAACTCATCTGTTTGGATGGCTGACAACATCTCCCTTGTTTTTTTCTTCACCTTTTCTATGTCGTCAAATCTCCATCCTATCATGTCCCTCTTCAGTCTCGGAAACAAAAAGAAGTTTCGCAGAGTGAGTTCAGTTGAGTAGGTGTGGGGGTAAAAGAGGCATGCTATTTTTTGCCCAAAACTGGCACACTGAGATGGCTGTGTAAGCAGATGCATTGTCGTGGTGGCAAAACCAGTGCCCCGTCTGTCTACCACAAATCAGGCCTTTTTGGCACACACTGTGTATAGTCTGGGTACTTTAAAGAAACAAATTCATATAAACTCATGTATAAGAGAGAGTTTTACATAAAGGTTAAGTGCACATCAAGAAAACATGCCAACCCAATGCTGCCCAAGCCCACAAGTTCAACATTAACCCATATGTTGGACACCAATCCACAAAGTCCTCCTCCATCTCACAAAACAAATGCAGTGATGCTGACTGCAGGTGGAAAGCCAAGTCAGTGAACGTGTAAGCATCTCAGCGCTGGCAGGGGTCTCCACAGGTTGCTCCAGCACCCAGGGCTGCATCAGGGTAGGTCCATGTGGCTTCTCCTTGGGGATGTCTCACAGGAAGTGAGCCTTGCCAGCTGAAGCAGGGAACTGGCTAAGGCAGCTGCACCATGGTCTGACCATCACAAAGCAAGAGACCCAGGAACTAGAAAGACGAGGCTCACTGAGCATTTATCTCTCTGCCTTTCCATTAACCCCACATGTGTTTATCAGCCAGGTTGGCACAATAAACTAACTACCTCACACTGATATGCAATCTTTTCAGAACCTCTAAATAGAAAGCTTGATGAACAGTCTAACTTGGTGGAACGAACTCCAAATGCAGTATGAGTCAATATTTTCATCCTTTTGGGAAGTTGATGGATGTCCAGAATGAAGCTTGTCATCAATCGGCATTTCACTGCTTTTGAAATGAGAAAAAACACTTGTACACTTGAGTTTTTTCCATAGCGTTGTCCTTGTAAGCTGTGTTCAACATCACAACAGTTTCTGTAGCATTTTTCCTGAACAGGAAACAAAATTTCACAGTTGCACCCTCTTTTCTTAAACTGGCCATCATAACATACACGGCTAGAGCGAAACTGCTTTTATGAAAAAATTCACTGTGTCCAGAGAGAACGTTCCCAGGCGGCACCACTGGGTGCACTAACTCAGAGCAACTTCCTGGATGCTGGTCTAGTGGCAAAATTCCTACTAAAAAAGGTCTGCTCCACCAGTGCAATTCCATTTTTCAGGGGGTACCCCCTTGTACACTTTTAAGCGCTCCACCCCAAACATCATATTGCATAAAACTCACCTGTAGATAATTTCCTCATATTGTCATCTCCATTTTACAAATGGCAAAAATAAAGCTTTGGAAAAATTAAGTAATTTACGCCCAGATGAGCTGATCCGAAGGGCTGAGCTGCCCTCCTCTACTCTAGCGTGGACACTACTGTCCTATGACACTACTGTTCAATTGCTGTTCTCCTTTGGTATCTGCGGTGGATTGATTCTGGGACCCCCATGGATTCCATGGATGTTTAGGTCCTTTATAAAAAAATGGTAAGGTGTTTGCATAAACGTTACTTACATCCTCCTGTATACACTAAATCACCTCTATGTTATTTATAGTACCTAATACAATGTGCATGCATGTAAATCGTGCTTTATGGTCCCTCTTGGTCTTTGAGGGATTGCTTTGACAACACACTTGCTTTTTTCCCCCTCTGTGAATATTTTTGATCTGTGGTTAATGGAATTTGCAAGTGTGGAATCCATGGATACAGAGGGTCAGCTGTTTTTACCAAACATTATTCTTTAATTAACCGGCTTTTGTTTTGCTTTGTTAACTTCATTCAGAGAGATAAGATTAACAAAATCCCAGGAGACATACAAAGGGGCTTCGAAAAGTTCCATTATCTTCCATATTCCATTTTCCTACTAACTGTTTGAAGCCCCCTTGTAGGTATGTGTATGTAAACACATATATGCAAGTGAATAAATATATAATATAAATGTTAAAAATGCATAACTAAAAAAAAATGCACAACTACAGTTGTAAAACTCTTCTTCGTATTCTACCTAATGCATCTCAAGTCCACCAATAGTGTGCATGCCACATTTCTGAGAAACAGTACTGTAAGCTGAACATAAAGCATTCATTACTACCTGTAATTAGACATGGGAAGTAGTTTGTTAAGTGCCCAGATATTGTAATTAAATGATCTTGGGTCAACTCACCAACAAACTTCTTAGCTGTGTGATCTCTTTAAAATTATTTATTTATTTAAATCATTTTATTAGGGGCTCATACAACTCTTATCACAATCCATACATACATCAATTGTGTAAAGCGCATTTGTACATTCATTGCCCTCATCATTCTCAAAACATTTCCTCTCCGCTTAAGCCTCCGGCATTAGGTCCTCATTTTTCCCCTCCCTCCCCGCTCCCCGCCTCCCTCATGAGCCCTTGATAATTTATAAATTATTGTTTTGTCATATCTTGCCCTGTCCGACGTCTCCCTTCACCCACTTTTCTGTTGTCCGTCCCCCAGGGAGGAGGTCACACCCACTCTCCCTCTACCCTACCAGTATCGCCATTCACACCACTGGTCCTGTAGGGTTCATCCGCCCTGGATTCTCTGTGTTTTCAGTTCCTATCTGTACCAGTGTCCATCCTCTGGTCTAGCCAGACTTGCAAGACTAGAATTCTAGCCAGACTAGAATTCGTCTCATGATAGTGGGGGCGGGGAGGAAGCATTTAGGAACTAGAGGAAAGTTGTATTTTTCATCGTTGCTACATCGCACCCTGGCTGGCTCGTCTCTAGCTGTGTGATCTTGGGCATGATTTTTAACCTCCATGTGCTTTGTATTTGAAAATGGTTATTTATTTTTTTCAAAAATGTAAGAATAAAAGAAAATGATTTATAATTGTGGAACATAATAAAACATTCAAAACTGGTTGTTTTTATTACCATGTAGATCCACTCTGCGAGGAGAAAATGTAAAAGGCAAGCAAGAAAGCCGTTCAAACAAGGGAGACCCTGTGAACCAGCGGCCTCCTTCTTTTTTTTCCACAACTTTATTGGCATATAATTCACATATCATAAAATTCAATAGTTTAATCATATTAAGAAGGGTTGTATAATTGCCACAACAAACAATTTTAGAGCATTTTCTTCTTGTGTTCATGGTCATTAGCGCCCCATATCTCCCTCAACCTTCCCTCCCATACCACTAAGAACCATTGATCCAGGTACTGGCTCTATAGAGTTACATGTCCTGGATTGCATATGCAGAAAAACATTACAACAAACAAGGGGGAAAAAGTAACAGCAGTAACACAGAAAACACTCAATTGGAAAGAAAGCAGACAATGTTAAAAAGTAGAGCAAAGTTAGAATGGGTGAAAAGGAAGATCAAGTGATAAGGTGTTAAATGTTAATCTAACAACACCCACCATCATCAACTTTCCAATGCATTCCACATGGTGCAAGACGGTTCACGTCCTCGGTCTATGGTCAGCAGGGATTCATGCGAGCATGAATCCATGTGCATTTCCCCTTCGTTTTTTGTTTTGGTTTGGTTTTTGGAATATGGAAGTAACTTTAAAATGGGTTAAAAGGGAGATCAGATGATACGATAATACATTTTAACCTGACTACACCTGCCCTAGCTGCCTTCTTTTTGAAGTCAAGAAAAGCAACTCCCCAGGGTATGCATACAGATCTTCTGCTGTAGGTGTTAGCAGTGACAGAATTGACCCCGGTGCATGACAGCTTTTCTACCCAAAGGTAGGAAGTGCTGATTGGCTCTGTACCATCCTTAGGACCAGTTGTGGATCTAACTGCTGTGATCCATGAGTTTTTCAATGACTGCTTTTCAACAGTAGACCATCAGGCCTTTCTTCCCAGTCTACCTGAGTCTGGAAGTTCTAGTGACAGACAGGTGATAGCTGAGCATGAGATGCTTGTCCAGAAAGTTGAGTCCAGGTCTTGTACGGAAGATGAGAATTCTACCAGTGAGCTGCCAGGTTAAAGTCTCAATCTCAATTATAACTATGTGTCTGCCTCAGGTGTCACTACACGTGGGTTTGACTCATGATGATAGAGGAAAAGCTCTTTGGTGGTGTAGCGACTAAGCTTTCAGCTGCTAATCAAATGGTTGCTGGTTCAAACTCCCAGCCGTTCTAGGGGAGAAAGATGTGGCAGTCTACTCCCCTAAAGATTGCAGTCTCAGAAACCCAATGGGACAGTTCTACTCTGTCTGATAAGGTTGATAGGAGCAGGCCTGACTTGATGGTAATAAGTTTGGTTCAATTTAATCTTTACAGCAGCGATGGCTAAGCTTTCCTTCCAGAGAGCTGTTGGGTTTGTTCCCATCCACAGTTTAGTACCTGAGTGATTAGCCAGCGCTTCTGCGGCTCTTTCTATGGCAGGTTATTCACCGTTAATGACATAATGACATCATTGTGTATGGCTATTATAAACTTTTATGGCAAATAGCAGTGAAGTGTTCTGAGGAAGGACCACCATTTTCTAATCCCTGCCCCCCAAAGTTGTAGGGGCTAGGATCACATTCCACGGATCCTTCTCAGAATCTCACTGACTTCAACCACAATGAATATGTTCACACACACACACACACAACTGAAATGCAGTTTCAGGAGGTACAGGTATTCCTGAAGTCCATCTATCAAAACAGTCCAATTCCTCAGGTTAAAAGCCCAGATCAAAGCTTTAACTTTCTTGAATGCATTTCTGAAGAAGCTTCTGTCTCCCAATCCCATTCTGATTGGATTTATAACATAATCACAAACAAAAAACCCAATCTCACTGCCAATGGAGTTGATTCTGACCCACAGTGTAGAAGTGCCCCTCTGGGTTTCTGAGACTACCTTTACAGGAACATAAAGCCCCATTTTCTTCTGCTGCCCCTCTGGGTTTCTGAGACTACCTTTACAGGAACATAAAGCCCCATTTTCTTCTGCTGCAGTTCTGAACTGCTGACCTTATGGTTAGCAGCTCAATGTGTAACCACTACACCACCAGGCAGCCCATCAACATAACGCCAGGGCCCAGGAACAGAAGTGAAGCTATTTCTGTTATGAAAGGGACTCTTCCTCTCTTAATTTTTAAGATGTCTTAGCTGGGGTGAATTTATTTGGTTGTATTGCTTCCAGATTAAACATTCCACATCATATCCATTACTTACTAAAAGTGATAACCCCTGCCACACAATGTTTCATCTGATTCATGGAAGATAAGAAGTTTGGTCTTTAATTCTCCAGGCTTCCTGCAAACCCTGCCCTTGTGACATCTCTGAGCTATTGTGCACTGCCATCAGTAAGAACCCGGTCATAGAGGAGCCAGCTGGAATAAATTGGAAAATAAATCATCACCTGCAGCTTCCAAGTTTAAATGTGTCACATTTACAGTATTTCACACCTCGATGTATGGTTTTGCCATTGGTAAGAAATATCATTTATGAGATAGTTTCAATGTTAGGTTAAAGAAAAGGTGCGGCAGTTCGCCAGCCAGTTGCTGAGAAATGGAGCAGAAAGCACAGACCACGGTCTTATTGAAAGACAAACCACTGAATCTTCAAAGTGACACTATTTCTTGCATCTAAAATTCTGCGACTGAAGTAGTCACTTAATATCAGTGCTTATGTTGGTCTCATCTGTCACTTTAAAGCTCAAGCTGGGGTGAAGCATGATTTTCGCTGTTGTAATGCAGACTTTGCTGATCATACATTGACATTTCCACTGTGGGACTCAGTTTGCTGATCAAAAGTTAATACCCCAGCCCCCGACTAACCCATACAAGTTTCATGTCTAACTACACTTCCTAACAAAGAGATGCTACTTTTTCAATCATCTGAGCCAACATTGCTTAATGTAAAACTCAACGATTTTTACTCCATAGGAAAAAAAAAAAGAGTCCCCATGGCCTACCTTTCAATCCCTTTGCTTTTGAGAGAACTGTTTTTCTTCCTGAGCGGCTGAGATCTTCCAGACTGGCCATCTTTTCCGTAGGTCATCTTAAAGGGCTCTAGTGGATCCAGCTGTGTGTAGTTCATTGCCATAAGCTTCAAGTAGCTATTGTGGATTTCTTTTGGTCTAGACGTCACGAACTTGAAGATCAAACTACCCAGTTATATGAAGGAAAAACCCAGAGTCTCTGCCTTACTCTCTTGGACTGCCCCTGTTTACCATTTGGGAGGTCACCCGTGATGCCTTTCACAGTGCTGTGGCAAATTCTGAGGCACTGTGTTATCGATGGATTTCTGGGCAGGGCAAGGCCGACAGGGCTTTCTAATGAAATCAGAGGTACTGCCAGATCTCTCAACTGAAGTCGGTGAAAGTTCTTTCTGCCCCCCTCCCCTGGGTGGGGGTAGGGGCGGGATCCTTATACAAAGGTCAGCTTTTTGGACATCTCACGCCTCAAGGGCGATGTCATTAGAACGCAGTACGTTCTTCAAGCAAGTGGTTTGGAGAGCTGTGAACCCAAACCCATGCCATTCCTTCTAACACATCCATCCCCTTTATGTATTTCATAAAGAACTAATCCTGTGCTTAGAGTGAAACGTCCCACCACAAGATGGCAGCAGACACTAGGACTTATTCCCCAGCTCTCTCTGGCTCTGTTTTTTGTTTAAATAATAATTGCTGTCTGAAATAAGCTGATGCTAAGAAGCTGTGCTGGCTGGCGCGGTCAGCTGTGCATTGGACCATAAGCCTCAGGTTTAGCAGTTCAAAACCACTAGCCACTCCATGGGTGAGTGATAAGGCGTTCTACTCCCATAAAAAGGTGGTCTCTTAGAAACCCACGGGAGCAGTTCTTGTTTGTCCCTTAGGGTCACTACGAGTGGGCACCGACTCGATGGCAGGGAGGTGTTTGGGAAGGAGGAAAGGAGCCACAGCGGTGTAGTGGATGACACACTGGGTTGCCAACCTCAAGGTCAGCAGTTTGAAACCACCAGCCACTTCACAGCAGACAGACAAGGCTTTCTGCTCCAGGAAAGATTTACAGCTTCCAAAACTCACTGGGTGGACAAAAAGCTATCGACCTTGGCCAGGACATCTGTATATATTTGATGCAGACCACCCTTGCTCTCCAAGAAATCTCCCTGCATATTAAATCAGGAAGGATGGTACATCCCATCGGAATTCCCTTGAATTAGATCAGGGCTGATCACATCAGACCACATGATGGGGCTGGCAGTAGGGTGGTGACTATATCATTACACACCTGCCGAACCAGCAAACCATGGCCCACCCATGTTCAAATTGACACATAACCTTCAATATCAAAGTGACCAACTCATAGTTTCATGGTAAGAATCAAGTGAAATTGAGATTCTATTATTTCAGGGACTGGGGCCCAGAAGCCTACAATTCAGGGAACATCTCAGGAGAGTGGGATTCAGGCTGTTCTCTGGCCCACACTTTGAGAAGAGCTGAAATTCTGTATACCAGGGACCTCAAGGTCAGTAGTTCCAACTTACCAGCTGCTACATCCGAGGTAGATGAGACTGTCTGCTTTCATGAAGATTTACAGCCACATAAACCTTGTGAGGCAGTTCTCTGTGCTGTAGGCCCGCCATGAGTCGGAATCAACTTGATGGCAGTGAGTTGAATGGGCTTTGGCCAAATGGGCTTGTGGTCCTACCTAGACTTTTTCCTTAAGCTCATCAATCTCCGAAGCACAATGCATTGCAAGTGATTGAATGAATGACTAAATACATGAACCTTACCTTGAACCATGGGCGAGTGTTTTTAAGTCTATTGTTGTAAGCACTGATGTCAAGTGAATGCTGACTCATAGTTACCATGCAGGACAGGGTAGAACTGTCCCCTCGGGTTTGCAAGGCTTACATCTGCTATGGAAGCAGACTGCCTCATCATTCTTCTTCCGAGCAGCATGGGGTTTGTTTTATTCATCCAGTTATTCAGCCATTATGTCAATGTCTCCCAGATCTCAGCGCTGCTTTAGGCACCAGCGATACCGCAGTGAACCACAAAATCCTCAACATACTGTGAAAGACGGAAGCTGATACAACCACAGCAACAAAAGAAAACCAAGAAATTAAATAATTGTGCTACTGGGTAAGAGCAATGAAGAAATAAAAGAGGATGCTAGGAGAGGAGTGACTGAGGGTGAGGGTCGCTTTTCCAGAGGGTCCCTCTCAAGGAAGGCCTGCCTTTGGATCTTTGGGGCTGGGAGCTCAACAAGGAAAAAGAGCCACTTGTGTGAGCATTTGGGGAAAGTGTGTTCAGGCTGTTGAAACAATGGTATAAAAGCCCAGAGGTGGAAGGAGTGTGATATCAGTGAAAATGTCTGAGATAGCCAGGGTGACTCTGGCCAGGCGATGAATGCAGGCGATGAATTAGAGAACCAGGCAGGGGCCAGGCCTACTGGGTCCTGCAGACCAAATGAAAGATGCCCATCTCCAGTTTTCAAGGATAGTATAGGATCTTCCGTTTTCAGTCAGCATCGATTGATGGTGGGCACTGAGGATTCAACAACGAGCAATCCCAGGCGAGGAATTATGATCCAGTGGAAGAGTAGACCAGCTATGTCAACACATGTAAATCGTTTCAGGCGTTGACGATAAATGCTATGCAAACCAAACAAAACAGGAAATCATAGTAGAAAGCGCCTGGGAGTGAACACCTTTGCCAGAGGGGTCCAGGAAGACCGCTTCAAGAGGTGAAACTTCACATGAGGCACCAATACTGAAAAGGAGGCCAACGATGCTAAGACATGCATACCAAAGAGGTAAAACCGCATGAGCGAAGGTTTTCACCTGGGGCCGGAAGTAGACATGTCTGAGAGCAGAAAGAAGGCCCAGGAGTTAAGAACACAGGCAGCAAGGAAAGCAAGAGGAGGCAGGGTTTGATAAAGATAGCTGAGTGCAGCTTGGGGAATACATCGGAGAGGAGAGAGGCGTGGTTGTCGAAACATCCTTCGGTAGACAAACTGGTCCAGCCTGCAGGTGGTGGTGATTGAAAGTGGAATGAGGCAGAGGCATTCAGAATCCAGAAATATTTAGGGAGGAAGCATTTGACTGCTGGCTGGAAGGTTGGCTGGTGGTTGGAACCCACCCGAGGCATCGAGAAAGACACACCTGCACCTGCAAGGCTCCTAAGTCACTGCCATTGGGTCGATGCAGACCGAGAGCTATCCTGTAGGACAGGGCAGAACTGGCTTTGTTGGTTTGGGAGACTGCCACTCTTCATAGGAGTAGAAAACCTCGTCCTTCTCCCGAGGAGAGCCTGGCGCTTGCAAATCACTAACATTGAAGCCACGAACATTGAAGCCAGCTCATAAGCCCTAGGCCACCAGGGCTCCTACTGAAAGGGTTATAGCCTTGAAAATCTATGGAGCAAAGTTCTATGCAGCACACAGGGGGCCAGAATCGATTTGCTGGCAACTAACCTCAACCAACATAAGTCCGAAAAGGCCATTAGCTTCGGAAAGGCCACAACCTTGAAACCCCATGGAGTTGACACTTGAGGTTTGCCATACATCGGAATGGACTCCGCATCCGTTGTCTTTTAAAATAACACTTTAACGGGAAGTCTTTCACAGTACTGGGTGTGGGTGGGAAGAAGGAAGGGAGGTAGGGCGATGTTAGGTTGGGGCTCCAGGCCGCTACAGCACTTCAAGTGTAGCCAGTAGTTTTAGGCTCCGCCAGCAAAGCAAGCCAGAAGGACGTCAAAACAAGAGTCCCCGTGAGCTCACTTTTCTTTTCAACCATCTTCCCTGGGATGAGGATGGAGTCACCCGCAGGTGACCATTATCTGAACATTTGTTAAAGTCCCTCTGAAATGCTAGAGCAGGGCAAACTCTGGGCAAAACCCAATCCTGTTTAGGTAACCATTGCAACATTGACTCCTAGAGAGATAGCTGCAGAATGAAACCTCTCTATGGGGTGGCACATCTGGATGCCCCAGGAGCCAGGCAGGTCAATGGGAGAAGCACTGGGGACTAACAGGTATGGCGGGAACTGCCACCTGCAGGCACATTTAGTGTACAGGTGACACTTTGCTGGCCCCAGAGATCATTTTAAGTCAACTTTTCCCTAAATCAGGTCTTGCCCGTGCATGGTGCTAAAGCAGTTTTCTCCCCACATTTTAGCTTGTGTCTGACAGCTCTTGGCTAACTATTAGGTTGTTGATGAATCTTGCCTCTATCTGGCTGAAGATTAGCCTCACCAGGTAACTTGTAAGCTGCCTGCAAAACATGGTAAATTGAGATTCTGAGTCTTTTTCCAAGTCTGGATGTGGCAGACACATAGAACAAGACAGACAATAAGTTTTAGTGACTTGAAGTCATTTTTTTTCTTTTAATGTTGACCTTAGTGTGTGGCGAATTTGTAGGTAACAAACCACCTGATATCTTGACAGATATTCATATGTCCAGTCCAGTGACATTAATGATGCTCACCATATTGCTCAACCATCACCTCTTCTCAAATGTCTCCATCACCCCAACCGGAAGTTTACTCTCCCCTAAACACTGTGTGCTCTCCTTTCTGCCTAACCTTGTTCTCTAAAAAACGTGCCAAATAGTTTTCCTTTTGCAATAACTGATGCATTTCACTCTGTGCAGTGTTCAGATTTCACTAGTAGAGTGTTGGGTCGGCAAACTGTGGCTCTAGAGCCATGTGTGACTCTTTTGGTATGTATGTGTGCTTCTGAAAGTTGAAAATGAGAATAAAACGATCACAATTTCCTTTATAAAGAATTTCAAGGATATTATTCAGATAATGGTGATTTTACTTGTAAAAATATATTTATGGCTTTTGAATAGTTTTTAAATTATTGTGAGGGACAGGATGGGTTCTTCTGTCTGAAACGTTTGCAGATGCCCCTGACACAGAAACATCGATAGGACCCCCTGAAGTACTTTTCAAACAGAATTTTTTGATAAAATGAAGGAGTGTAGCAAAGCGGCCGCTCCCTGATTTGCTAGCATGGCATGTGGAGGAATGTGAATTGTGGGCTGTGGTCAAGCAACACTGCTGACTGGGAGAGGGGGGTGTCACTTTACAGATCACTTACGGGGAGTTGT